TTCCACTGCTGCTCGAAACCCTCTAGAACCTTCCATTTCACGGGGAGTAAAGAAGTGAAAGTCTTTTGAAAGACCCACAATACTTTATCTCTAGGATCCTGCCCTGGCCACTCTGACGTCATTTCCGACTGTTCTGAAGCACAATGGGGCCATGAAGTTCCTTAAGTTCTCCCAGCCCATTTCCGGGGCCTTGCTGCTCCCCCAGATAGTCCCTTGAACATCTGCTCAATTCCTCATGTCTATTCTTAACTTTGAAAGACAGGCTCCTGGCAGGATACAAAATGCTAACCACAGAGAGTGGTTAAGTGAAACATCGTATCTCCTCATCAAGGTGTAGCTGGAAAATAAATAAATAAATGAATGAATGAATAAATAAATAAATAAATAAATAAAGAGGGTGATTGCAATGAACTGGTATTGAGGGATAATCCAGGCCATAAGTGAGAAAATCAAGATATAAAAAGCACACAGAACATGTAACTTGTTCTTTCAGAAAGCATGTGAGAAGTAAAGCATACTGTTTACATGCAAAGAAGCAAGAAGGATAAAATTAAAATAAATAAGGGCCTCCCCCGGTGGCGCAGCGGTTGAGTGCTGGGCTGCCAGGCTGCCCGCAGCCTCTGCAGCGCCAGTTCGTTCCCGGGCCGCCGGTGAGGGTCCCACAAAAAAAAAAAAAAAACTACGATAAATAAAACACTTGCTTTGTTAGTAGAGGCCAGGGTGTGTCTCTTTTCATGTCAGTTTGATTTGAGCCACGTCCATCTTTTATATACTTAAATATTAAATAATTGGGGAAAACCCTACAAGTGAATAGAAACAGAAACAAAGTGATGTAATTCTCTATCAAATCATGCCATAACCACACAAATAGGGAAAAAGGGACTTCAAGTCACTTTAGAATTTAAAGGTACTATAAATCTTCATTCACTGGCAAATGAAGAAAAATAAAGAGTCCAAAGAAACCTTGAATTGTGTTGAGTAAGCCTGTGTGAGGCAGCGGTATGGGTGGAACAGTTGTGAAAGCATCTCGTGCTTAATGTAGAGTAGGAAATTGTGGTGATGCTACTAAGAATGTAGCAAGAATGGGGTCAAGGGAGACCCAAATATCAAATGGAGGAAGAGGAAGAAGAACCAAAGAGTGGATGAGGCCCAGCCATCTCAGGGCGAGCTCATGCCTCAGTGAATGCTTTGTTTCCTAGCTCTGAAAATGGTAGCCTCGATTCTACCCCCCTCACTAGCAGCCACAGGAGACAGACGTCTAATGGTTCCAAGGAAGAAGCAGGAAGGGGACAAAATGGGTGTGAAGCATTGTTTGGGCAGAGAGTAAGAAGTGCTCGGGATCTGATGGAAACAGGGCAAGTGGACACTCACTGGAGTCTGAAGAGGATCCCAAATCTGTTATCACTGTGCATCAGAACAGAGAATGACAAGAGGGCCATCTTCAAACACCCATGAGTCCACTCTTACTAAAAATCACAAAAAGTGGCTCTCCCTGGTGGCGCAAGGGATTAAGTCTCAGCACTATGAAGCAATCCGCAGCCACTGCAGCAGGAGTTTGAGGAGCTGACCCACACGGCGCAGCAGACCTCTCCTGTCTTACCCGCTGCTCCCCTCAGCTGTGTATTTCAGGGGATCTGCCTGTTCTGCTCCCCACTCTGTCAATGGTGAATCCTCTCACCCCCCACACCTCTAACCTACACCACAGCTCGTATATCATATATAAATAAAATATATCTTTAAAAAAATAACAAAAAGCTTTTCATTGTTAAAGAATATCAATACTTTAAAAAAAAAGGGGGGGGGAGGGCCTCCCTGGTGGCCCAAGGGTTTGGAACACAACCTATGAAGCGATCCACAGCCACTGCAGCATGTGTTCGATCCCCAGCCAGGGAGATACCCACAAGGTGCAGCAGACCTCTCCTGACTCGCCGCTGCTCCCCTCAGCAGTGCATTTCAGTGAGTCTGCCTGTTCTGTTCCCCACTCTGTCTCTGGCGGATCCTCTCACTCCCCCCCACATTTATTTATTTATTTATTTAAGCACTGGGTATAGTCAGAAGCGTGGGAGGGTGAGGGAATTCACCAGAGCCAGAGCGGGGAGCAGAACAGGCAGACCGACAAAATACACTGCTGAGGGGAGCAGCGGACGCGGCAGGAGAGGTCTGCATGCCATGTGGGACCCTTGCCGGCAGCCGGGGATCCAACCGGTGCTGCAGAGGCTGTGGGCAGCTTCGCAGCCCAGCGCTCAACCGCTGCACCACCAGAGGAGGCCCTAAATAAATCTTTAAATAAAAAAAAACAACAGGACGGGCCGCCCCGGTGGCGCAGCGGTTGAGCGCTGGGTTGCGAATCTGCCCGCGCCCTCTGCGGCGCCGGTTCGATCCCCGGCTGCTCCCCGGCCACCGGAGGAGGGTCCCACATGGCGCGCAGACCTCTCCTGCCGCCCGCTGCTCCCCTCAGCAGTGTACTTCGGTCCTTCTGCCTGCTCTGCTCCCCGCTCTGGCTCTGGTGAATTCTCTCACCCTCCCGCGCTTCTGACTATGCCCAGTGCATGTATAAACAAAAAAAAAAAAAAACAAACAAACAAATAAATAAATAAAACATGCCTCTATTTAAAAAAAAAAAAAAAAAAAACAACAGGGCTAGAAAATTGTTATCATCTACAAATATTTTAGTGATTATGGACTTGGATGTGAAATCAATGGATGCTAAAAGATTAGAGGAAAGACAGTCCGGGAACAAGATATCCACACAATCTCAAAGTGTCACTTAGGCAATTACTTATTTACAAAGCGGAAAAGGTGCCTCTAAAGTGAGAAATCTGTCGGCCCCTCACATTCACCAAGTCATAGAAGCTCACACCTCCACGGTGGGACCAATGGGGCGAGTTTGCTGCCTGATGAGCTGCGCAGAGCAGACCAGGACACAGCTACAGAGAATCCTGCCCGACAACCACGTTTTCACCAGAACCCAATCATCACCAAAAGGTAGACAGTCCAAATCAAGGCATATTCTGTAAAACAACGGGTCGGAACCCTCGAGAACAGCAGCCATAAAGTAAAAAGCAAAGTCGTAGATGCAAGGGGCCGAAAGAGGTTCCACCACCAGATGAAGTGCTGACCCAGATCTGACGCTGCCAGAAAGCAGCCCAGGACAAGGCTGTGTTTGCTGACCAGGCTCTGGGGCTCACCGAGATGCAGTGTCTTAGAAGACAAGCCGGATCATTCAGGGGCAGGTCGTCATGAGGTTTGCATCTCTCAAAAGGTTTTGCAAAAAATAACCCATTTAAGTGCATGCGTCTGAGTGTGGGCTGGAATCTATAAAGGGAGAAGTCAACCATTGTGGTGAAATTGACGAGAGGTGTGTGGTGTCCATTGTACTATTTTTACTGTTCTAACGCTTTTGAGTGTTCCAAAGTTGTGAAAATTTAAAAAGAAATATTAACGGCTCCCCCTCCTCTCTGCTTTCCTAATCTCTGTATTAGTAACTGTGCGCTGTGCCATCACCCCACATTTCTCTATTTGCTCTTTTTCACTGTCTCCCCCTCCCCCAGCCCCTGAGCAGGGAGTGTTGTGCCCTGCTGTGTGCTCAGGCCTTGTACAGTGCCCCCCACACAGCTGATGCTCAGTATTTGTTGAGCAACTGATGTTCACAGTTGTATGAATTCTTACGGACACTATTATCCTTTCTCTCCCAGAAAGGGCGCCCTCAGAAACTGCCCTCGGCACACCTGGAGTGTGTGTCCAGTGTCCCTGGGGGACACGGAGGAGGGACCATTCATTGCCCAAGTTCACCTGTAAACTCTTGCTCCCTGGCTTCCTTGCCTGGCTTCCTCCTCCTGGGATCTCTTCCCACATGACTGCAGCTCCAGCACCTCCCTCCTAGGAAGCCAGGTTCCACCACCCTCCCTCCCTGGAAGGCTTTGCCTCACAGAGGACGCCTGATTTCACAAAAGACAAGGCTCTCCTCCTCTGCAGGCCCAGGGCTTTGGTGCTTCTTTAAATCCCTCTTCCTACACTTCTGTACCTGACACTGTGGAACCTTTGAGCCTTCCCCAAACCCTCCCCCAGGTCCTACACCTGGGAGAATGCAAAGGGCAGTGACTCAGAAAAGCCTGAAGACTGGAGTGGAATGTGGATCTGGCAGATGGTACCAAGGGCTCCCAGCAGGCCTCGCCCCCACGCACCACCCAAAGGAAGAATGAGTTAGGGGGGCTGCTCTCCAGGGGTTGACAGTGACTTGCCCCCAGACTGGAGGTGTTGGGGAGGGTGAGGAGGTCCAAACCAAGGCAAAGACACCCATGTCCGGGGCTGTGCTGCTTGTTTCCTGAAGCTAGAAAGGGAACCAGGCGGCTCTAGACACTGGTTCATTCCTTTAAGACCAAAGGGCGGGGAACGCGCCCTCACTGCGCTGACTGGGTCCCCCGCCGGCGCTGGCTTCCCACCCCACGCCGGCCAGCCGGGGCGCACAGGCCACCCACCCCCACTTGCGAGCCAGCCCAGCAACCGCAGAGGAGAAGGGGCGCCCCCACCCCGGAGGGGGGTTCCACGCCCAAGGCGTGGGCGGGGCGAGCCCGAGGGCGGCGAAGCGCGGTCCTGGGAGCCCAAGTTCAAGGCCAGGGCGGCTCGGAAGGCCGAGAAGTAACTGAATTTCAGAAAAAAGCCACAACTTTCCGGGATCGCTGCGCGGGGCGGGAGCCTGGATGCCGCCTGGGGCTTTGGAGGCCCCGAGAGAGAGATGAGCCCCGCGGGGGAGCGCGCTGAGCCCCCACTTCTTCCCCAGCCAGATCCAGGCGCCCCGGGAGAAGTTCCCCCCGCGCCCCAAGGGAGGGGTGCAGTGACCCCTTTCCCGGGACAGCTGGCCCGCGCGAGTCCTCACCCCACCCCGCGCCCCTCATCAGCGCCGACCTCACCGTTCCTAGGGCCCCGCCCGTCCACCCGACCTTCGCCCCGGGCGCGGCACCCCAGACCCGCGGCGGGCGGCGTGGGGGGGGGGCACTCACCGAGCAGGGGCAGCAGGCAGAGGACCCCCGCGGGGCTCAGGGGAGTCATCACGCGGCCGGGGCCCGCTGGGCGCTTCGGAGGCCGAGCAGCCGCCCCGCCGGCCCGCCTCGCATGTGGCCGGGCCCGCGCTCGGGGCCCCACTTCCTCCGACGAGCGCGCGCGCGCCCCGGCCGGCCGGCACAGCCTCGTCCCGCCCCGCACTTCCTCAGCCCGCCCCCCCCACGTGGCTGCCCGGCCGCCCAGCCCTGGGCGCGCCCCATTCCCGCCCCGCCCTGGGGCTTTCGGCTGCCGCCCGCACCTGTGCGCGCTACCTGGGTGGGATGCGCGGGGGCCTGCAGCTGCGGGGCTGGGGGGCGCGGGGGGGTACGGGGGAGCGGTCAGTGCCCGAAGGCCGCGTCCCACTCGGCGGGGACGGGGTCTCAGGAACACGGCCCAGGACAGGAGCTCGTCCCTCTGCGCGTCTGGCGAGCGCGGAGCTGGCGCTTGTTGCTCCAAGTGACCCAGCCCCGAGACCCGCAGCAGCCCCGCCAGACACCCCTTCCTTGGATGCCAGAACAAGAGGAGCCTGGACTGTTCAGACAACCGCTGAGGTGTGGGGGTGCCTGTTGCACCCCGCCCGCTTTTCCTTAATCCCGATCCCAACCGTCCCTGGTGCCCAGAACTGGATTCCAGTCGCGGTGTCTCCTCCTCACTCTCTCTGGCTCCTCTTCGGTTTCAACTGTGGCTTTTCCCTCAGGCTGAGTCGTTCACCCCCTCAGTGGCCCCCCCGAATTTCTCTCTGCAGAGCAGCCACTGCCCTCTGGAACGCCCCATCTTATTGGTCAGTGTTCCCACTGGCTTGCCCCCCCCACCCCTTCAGCCCCAGGGGGCCCAGCCCCAAGGACTCCACCCCAGGAAGGGGCCCTTTTCCTTCAGAGAAGCCCAGAGCTGTCCCAGCCCAGCTGAGGCAGGTGGAGACTCTTGCCCAGACCAGGACTCCCCGCCCCCCCACATGCCACCAGGTGCAGCTGTGGAGCAGGTGGAAATGCCATTGACTGGGGCTCTCCTCCCCAGCACCCCACCTGGGCCCCAGCATCCGAGTCACGTGGCCTTTACTTTCAGAAATCACGAACTATTTCTTCAATGAACCTAAAATCTTACAAGGCATCTCTCATGGGTGAAATTTCAGAAGCCAAAGTTGTGTACCTGGAAGCAGGTGACCTGAAGACACCCCCTGCCATCTGTAGATATTGGAGGCACATGAAACAGATGCAGTGTTTACCCCAAGATGTGAGGAAATCAGGGTCCTCCTCTGCCTCCTATAAGTGAAATCATCCAATATTTTTCTTTTTTCTTTCTGGTTTATTTCACTGGGCATAACTCCTTCTAGCTCCATCCATATTGCTGCGAATTGCGTGAGTTTAACTTTTTGATTGCGGAATAATATTCCATGGTGTATATGCACCACATCTACTTGATCCAGGCATCTATTTGGGGGCTTTGGGGTTGTTTCCAGGTTTTACCTATTGTAAATAGTGCTGCAATAAGCATAGGGGTGCAGGTGGTCTTTGAATCAATGTTTTAATGTCCTTTGGGTAGATAGATCCCTAGGAGTGGAATTGCCAGGTCATATGGTAGCTCCATTTTTAGTAGACTGAGGAACCTCCACACAGCTCTCCATAGTGGTTGGACCAGTTTGCACTCCCACCAGCAATGTAGGAGAGTTCCTTTTTCACTACATCCTCGGCAACATTTGTACTTGCAAACGCGCCCTGACCTGTCCTGAGACACAGCTGTCACCAGGTGCGACCCTCCCCTGCCAGCTGGGGAAACTCACCAGTGTCCAGGACGCGGATGCTGATGGGGGCCGACTCTTCCTTGGCCAGCAGGTACCAATCTCCCTGAAGGCTGGGCAGCCACTCCTCCACGCGGCAGGAGTAGTTGCCCGTGTCCTGCGGGCTGGCCTGCAGCACCGTGAGCCGGAAGAGCAGCAGCGAGGGCCTCTGGAAGCGGAGTCTGTCCTCCCAGGGGCCTCCCTCTGGGCCGAAGACCCCGTCAGGGCCCACGCTCAGCAATGCCCTCCGCTCGGTGGGGTCCTGCTCCTCCTGTCCTTCCAGGCCAGGGCTGCCCTTGTCCCCGACGACTTTCATCCTCAGGGAAAACCAGGCCACAGCGAAGTAGGAGTCCTGGCTCGAGTGAGACGCGATGCTGCAGCCTAGCTGGAAGGCGGCCTTCTCGGGCACCATGGCGTTGGGGACCACCGTGTCCACCCGCAGGGCCGGATCTGGGACAAGGGACAGAGACAGGAGGAGACACTGTTTTCATTTCTGTACTCGTGGCACCCCAAGTGCCCATCACTGAAGCCATGACAGGAGCACCCAGGGAACTGGCACTGCAGCAGGTGGGGGGTGGTGCCCGTGTGGAGGGGTAACAGCCCACAGGAGAGAAGCAGCTCAAGGAGCAGAGCAGACGCGTCACGAAGATGCTCTGTGCATGAAGACTGAAAGTGGGGGGCTGCTGAAGAAGGGGGCCTGTGAGAGGCCCTCAGTCCCCCTGCTTGTATTCTGGGGGATGGAGCCCCGCTCCCGGGGAATCACAAGCAGAGCTGGACAGACTGACCCGCGTCACGTGCCTGGCACAGCGGAGGCGAGGACAGGGGCGGCGAGGGTCGGGCCCAGGGGAGGAGTGAGCAGGTCAGAATGGGGGCGCCGGAGGAGAAGGGGGGAAAACAGTCCCCCAGGCTCGCTGCCTTTGGGGGATGCGTGTGCGGGGCTGTCCTCAGGGCGCGTCTTCACCACCTCACGGGCAGCAAAGCTGCAGCTGCAGAAGGAGATAGAGACCAGGGGCTCAGGGTCTGAGGAGATAAAGACTCTGGGAGAGCGAGGACGCCAGGCCTGATTAGATGAAGTGGGTGACCCGGAATTTAAAGTGTGGGGACCCCGGGGGGCGATATGTTTTGCAGCAGCCACGGGTGGTGAGCACAGAACAGGTGAGCGCGGGACTCAGCCAGGTGGAGATGGAGTCAGGTGCGTCTAAGCCATCCAGAAAGGGCAGGTAAGCTGTGCCTGTGCACCAGCCTGAGCCCAGGAGGGAGCACCCCACTGTGGGGCGCAAGGGGGTGGGAGGACTAGAGGGGCAGGTCGGAACATTGGAGTCAGCCCAGCAGAAGAGGGGGGCGTCCAAAAGAGAAGGTGGGACCCCTGACCCTCAGACAATGGGGAATAGGAATTAGTTCGAGGTTCTGTCCGTGGGGAGAGGCCAGGTAGATTGGGGGACAAGACCACTGCGGCATGGGGGAGCAAGGACTGAGGAACCAGGATACTGGAAAGGACTTTGTCTCAATACTATTAAGTGATGGCCGTGTGCCTGACGGGAAGGGTGAAGCCCAGCGCCAGGCGATCTAGTGGCAGTGCAGCCTGACAGCGGAGCAGGGGCCAGCAGGGACTCCACAGCACCTCCTGTCCAGGGAGCTCAGCTCTGAGTTCCCTGCTGCTACTCCCCCTCTTTCCAGAACATTCTGAGGAAGACAAGTGACACTGCTGCAGTCGCTCTGCCCCGGGGCAGTTCCTCCCCCCTCGGTCACTTCCTTTGCTCACCCAGAAGGTGACAAGGGACTGGAGTGGCTCCCGCAGGCCAGAAAGTGGACACACGCCTGACCCATAGGACGGCCAGTTCTCGCCTCGTGGCCATTCATTTGTAACAGTCTCTTCAAGCAGCTGGGAATTCGTTTTAAGCACAACCCCATTATTCAACACTTACCAACCACTTTCAGAGTAAACTTGGTGCTGCTCTTAGCGCCGCCGTATTCCACTTCATACTCATCCTCGTCTGAGGATGTGACATTGAAGATGGTGAGGTTCCCGGTCTGGGTGTCTAAATGAGTCCTGTTTATAAAAGGCGGGAAAGATCTGGGCTCCCAGTAAAGGTTCTCCTCCCATTCGATGACTTTATTCTTGCCTTTTTTCCACAGGATATCTTTAGAGGCTACGGGTTCTCCTATTTTGAAAGTTACATTCTGACTCATGCCTCCAGATAGAACCACATTTTGGGGCTGGGAATAACAGCCGATAAGACCTAAGAGGGAGAAAAATTGGTTAGGAAGCAGCACATGATTTTAGTGAAAACAGAAAAATGTCTTCCAAGATGTCCTTTCAGGGAGAAACAAGTTACATTATGCATCCGTTATCTTGTGCTGGGCTAAAGTGAAAACTGCCAGCCGCAAGCAGGACACCCGTGACCACATAGTTGACTCTTTACTAGGGAACTCAGGCCCGGAAATCTAAGGAATGATCCAGCTTATGGAGCCCTGGCTATGTCAGGGGCTGGGGAGGACACTGGGAATGAGGCAGTAAGAAGCCTGGCATCATCCAGAGTCCCCAGGCACCCCAGGTGAGGGAGAGGACTCAGAGCAGGCCTGGGAGCCTCCAACCCAAAGGTCTTTCAGGGAAGTCAGGCTGAAACAAATCCAGGATGACCAATCACTGAAGGAGAGAGCAGTTAGCCAGACCAGCCCCGGTAGGGGGAGAGGAGACAGTCATACCTAGGGAGGAAGCACCTCCCAAGGCAGTCCCTGATAAAATGAACAGCCTGGGGCTGAGGAAACAAAAGCCTATCCAAATGGCTAGAATGGGAGTCTACTTGGTGGCTCAAGGGGAAGCTCCTCAACACTATGAAGCTATTGGCAACCACTGCAGCACAAGTTTGATCTGCAGCCAGGGAGATGACCCACATGGCCCAGCAGACCTCTCCTGTCTCCCTCCTGCTCTGTCTCTGCTGAATCCTCTAACCCTTGCCCCCACCTCTGGCCTACACCCCAGCTCTTGCATACATATCCTTTCTCTCCCAGAAAGGGAGCCCTCACAAACTGCCCTCGGCACACCTGGAGTGTGTGTCCAGTGTCCCTGGGGGACACGGAGGAGGGACCATTCATTGCCCAAGTTCACCTGTAAACTCTTGCTCCCTGGCTTCCTTGCCTGGCTTCCTCCTCCTGGGATCTCTTCCCACATCACTGCAGCTCCAGCACCTTCCTCCTAGGAAGCCAGGTTCCACCACCCTCCCTCTCCGGAAGGCTTTGCTTCACAGAGGATACCTATTTTCATAAAAGACAGGCCCTGGAAGCTTTGGAGCTTCCTTTTTTTTTTTTTTTTAAGATTTATTTATTTGTGCATACAAGAGCTGGAGTGCAGGCCAGAGATGAGGTGGCTGAGAGGATTCACCAGAGACAGTGGGGAGCAGAACAGGCAGATGTCCTGAAACACACTGCTGGGGGAACAGCAACAGCAGGCTGGGCAGGAGAGGTCTGCTTTGTCCTGTGGATCAGCTCCTGGCCAGGGATCAAATGTGCTGCAGTGACTGGTGGTAACTTCATAACACTTGCTTCTTTTAATCCCTCTTCCTATACTTCTGTACCTGACACTGCAGTACCTTTGAGTCTTCCTCCAACTCTCCCCAGGTCGTGCACCTGGGAGAATGTGCAGAGGAGTCACTCAGGAAAGGCTGAAGACTGGAGTGGAATGTGGATCTGACAGATTGTACAAAGGGCTCCCGAAGAACAGCCCCCCCACCCCCAGGTAAGGAAAAATTGGTTTCAGGGGTCAGCACTACCCTCCAGGGGTTGACAGTGACTTGCCCCCAGACTGGAGGTGTTGGGGAGGGTGAGGAGGTCCAAACCAAGGCAAAGACACCCATGTCCTGGGGCTGTCCTGCTGATTTCTGAAGCTAGAAAGGGAACCAGGCGGGTCTAGACACTCACTGGTTCTTCCTTTAAGACCAAGGGAGGGGAAGGCGCCCTCACTCCCTACTTAGGAACCCAGAAGTGCAGACTAGGTCCCCTGCTCAAGCCCTCTCTCTGCCCTCCCCCTGCCAGGGTCAGCCTCCCACCCCAAGCTGGCCTGTTGGGTCTGGGGTTCAGAGGCCACTCCCACTTGCAAGCAATCCCATCACTGGCAGAGGGGAGGAGCTGGGGGGTGGCCAGGGCAGCACCCCAGCAGGGATTGAGGTCACCCCAGAGCGGTTCTGTCCCCTCAAGTTTAAGGCCAGGGAACCTCGGAAGGCCGAGAAGTAACTGAATTTCAGAGAAAATCCACAACCTTCCAGGGCAGGCTGCGCGGAGAGGGAGCCTGGATCTGCCCGTGGGGCTCAGGGGCCCCTGAGAGAGATGAGCGGCCCCAGCTTCCTCCCCAGACAGATGCAGATGCCCAAGGGCAAAGTTTCCTCCAGAGCCCCAAGGGCTGGGGTGCAGTGATGTCCTTCTCTGGGACAGCTGACTCAGATTCTTTGGCCCCACCTGCTCCCCCTGATCAGAATGGACCTCACAGTGGCCAGGGCAGTCCCGAGGGGCCCCGAGGGGCGACTCACCAAGCTAGAGAAACAAGCAGCTGATCTCTGCGGGCCTGAGGTCGGCCATGACGCGACCCAGGCTGGGATGCTCCTGTGGGTGCCCCACCTGCCTTATGTGGCAGCAAGGCAAGACTGTGATAGCTGTTTTTTTTTTTTAAGGGTTACTTAATTATGCATACAGTAACTGGGGTACTGGCCAGAGGTGGGAGTAGAATTCACCAGAGACAGAGTGGGGAGCAGAACAGGCAGTCTGACTGAAAGCACTGTTGAGGGAGCAGCGGGTGAGACAGGAGAGGTCTGCTGTGCCATGTGGGTAGCTCCCTGGCCAGGATTGAACTCGAGCTGCACTGGCTGCTACCAGCTTGACAGTGCTGCTCCTTAACCCCTAGAGACACCCGGTCCCACTTCAAGTTTGCCGCCCAAAGCGGACACCCTTTCTTCAATCCCCCTCCCATTACCCCTGGCGACCCCAATCCCCCCCCCCCACCCCGCAGCCCCCTCAGGCCACTCTCTCACTTGCGCAGTCCCTCCTTGCAGCCACCCCGCCCACACCGCTGCCCTCCGGGGCGGGCTCTGTGACATGCACACGCCCATCTCCCGCCCAGGGCTGTTCCGCTGCCCTGCCCAGCAGATTTCCTTAGTATTTGGATTATGCTGGGGTTTGGAGCTGAGGCAGCGGGAGCAGGGGGGGATGGGGGGGTGGGGGGTGTCAGTCCCCAAAAGCCACGCCCCGCTCCACTGGTGACTGAGGTGACAGAACAGGCAGATGTCCTGAAACACACTGCTGAGGGGAGCAGCAGGCTGGGCAGGTTAGCTCTGCTGTGCCCTGTGGGTCAGCGCCCTGGCCAGGGATCAAACTTGTGCTGCAGCGGCTGGTGAGCTTCATAACCTCCTGAGCCACCAGGGAGGCCCTGGTGCTTTTTTTAATCCCTCTTCCTGTACTTCTCTACCTGACACTGCAGTACCTTTGAGTCTTCCTCCAACTCTCCCCAGGGCGTGCACCTGGGAGAATGTGCAGAGGAGTCACTCAGGAAAGGCTGAAGACTGGAGTGGAAGGTGGATCTGACAGATTGTACAAAGGGCTCCCCAGGAACAGCCCCCCTTCCTTGCCCCAGGCAAGGAAGAATTAGTTAAGGGGGCTAACCCTACTCTCCTGGTGTTGACTGTGCCTTGCCCCCAGACTGGAGGTGTTGGGGAGGGTGAGGAGGTCAGAACCAAGGCAAAGACACCCATGTCCGGGGCTGTCCTGCTGACTTCCTGAAGGGAAACCAGGCGGTTCTAGATGCTCATTGGTTCCTTCCCTTAAGAGCAAAGGGAGGGGAAGGCGCCATTACTACTTAGGAACCCAGAAGTACTGACTAGGTTCCCTGCTAAAACCCTCTCTCCACCTCCCCCTGCCAGGGCCTGCTTCCCACCCCACGCTGTCCCGTTGGGGCTGGGGCGCAGGGGCCACCCCCACTTGCAAGTGAGCCAGCACTGGCAGAGGGGGGAAGCTGGTAGGGGGGCAGGGCGGCACCCCAGCAGGGATCCACCCCCAAGGCGCGGGTGGGGGAGCCCGAGGGCGGCCCAGCGGGGTTCTGTCCCCTCAAGTTCAAGGCCAGGGCAGCTCGGAAGGCCGAGAAGTAACTGAATTTCAGAGAAAAGCCACAACCTTCCTGGGCAGGCTGCGCGGGGCGGGAGCCTGGATCTGCCCTTGGGGCTCAGAGGCCCCGAGAGAGAGATGAGCCCCGCGGAGAGCGCTGGAGCCCCCCACTTCCTCCCAGCCAGATGCAGAAGCCCAAGGGCGGAAGTTTCCTCCCGCGCCCCAAGGAAGGGGCGAGGTGACCCCTTTCCCAGGAACAGCGGCTCGGGGAGTCCTCACCCCACCCTCTCAGCACCGACTTCACAGCGGCCTCTGCCTGAGGGGTCACTCACCGAGCAGGGACAGGAGGAACAAGCAGCCGCCCCCCCGCGCGCCCGAGGCCGGCCATGACGGGCCCAGGCCGGGGTGCGCCTGTGGGAGCCCCACCTGCCTTAATGGCCACGCGGCGCGGCTCTGGGCCGTTTATTTATTTATTTATTTATTTATTTTACATTTACTAACTACCGGAAGAGGGGCACCGGCCAAATCAGAGACTGAGGGGTGCAGTGCGCGAGTCAGGTGATGTCTCTGCCCCACGTGGGGCGCTCCCTGGCCGGGATCACAGTCATACCGTGAAGACTGCGGTCAGCTCCACCGAGCCGCGCCCTAGCACCCTCAGTCACCCGGCGCGCTTTAAACCTGCCGCCAGGGCGGAACCCCTGTCCCCATTCGCTGCCCCCCCCCCCGCGTGGGCACGTCCCTCCCGCGGCGCCCCGCCCACCCGCTGCCCTCCTGGCTGCTCTTGGGGTGCGCACGCCCACCGCCCTCCCAGGGCCCGCCCAGGTTTCCTTAGGGATTGGGTTATGCTGGGGTCTGAGCTAAGGCGGCGGGATTTGGGCGTGTCAGTCCCCAAAAGCCGCGCCCCGCTCCCCTGGCGGCTGCGGTGACTTCAAACCCCCAGAGCACAGGGCGGCTCCAGGACAGGAGGCCCCGCACTTTCCTCTGTGGCTTGTGGCAGCCAGACCCGCCCAGGCTCTCTCCTCCCCTGTCAGAACTAGAGGAGCCCAGACTGTTCCGACAACCGCTGGGGTGTGGGGGTGCCTGTTGACCCCACCCGCTTTTCCTTAAACTCAACCTCAGCTGCCCCTTGTGCCCAGAACTGGGTTCCAGCCGCGGTGTCTCCTCCTCACCCTCTCTGGCTCCTCTTCGGTTTCAACTGTGGCTTTTCCCTCAGGCTGAGGAGTTCACCCCCTCAGTGGCTCCCCGAATTTCTCTCTGCAGAGCAGCCACTGCCCGCTGGAACGCCCCATCTTATTGGTCAGTGTTCCCCACTGGCTTCCCCCCCTCCCCCTGCAGCCCCAGGGCCCAGACCCAAGGACTCCACCCCAGGAAGGGGCCCTTTTCCTTCAGAGAAGCCCAGAGCTGTCCCAGCCCAGCTGAGGCAGGTGGAGACTCTTGCCCAGACCAGGATTCCCCGCCCCTAGATGCCACCAGGTGCAGCTGGGAAGCAGGTGGAAATGCCATTGACTGTGGGTCTCCTCCCCAGCACCCCCACCTGGGCCCCAGCCATCCCAGTCACGTGGCCTGTACTTTCAGAAATCACGAATATTTCTTCAATGAACCTAAAATCTTACAAGACATCTCTCATGGGCGAAATTTCAGAAGCCAAAGTCCTGTACCTGGAAGCAGGTGACCTTAAGACACCCCCTGCCATCTGTAGATATTGGGGGCACATGACAAGTGCAGTGTTTACCCCAAGATGTGAGGAAATCGGGGTCCTCCGCTGCCCGGGGCTGGCAAGACCTTGGGCAACCTGAGAAGGGAGGCTGGGGTCTGACACGTGATGGAACATCAAACTGGAGCCCATTCCGTGCCCTGCGTTAAGTGCGCGGCCTGGATTAGCGGATGTGACCACTGTCCTGTGTCTACAGAGGAGGAAACTGAGGCTCAGGGCACGTGCCTGCCCGAGGACACGCACAGGGAGTGACCGAGTCCAACCCAAGCCAAGTTCAAGGCGTCATACTCATCTTTCACCTGTGGGAACACAACTTTGGGTCTAGCAGCAAGGGTCAGCCCCCTAAAAGAAGGGCTGAGGGGGGCAATGCCCACTTTCCTGGGGTGGAAGTACCCCCAAGGTCATCGTGTCCGGACATTGGATGAGGAAAGACTCATTCGTCTTCCTTGGTGGACGCACATCTGACCAAGCAGCAGTGCCAGCTCCTTTAGCGAGAGAAACGCATTTATAAGAGCCCCAATCTGCCTGGCCTGGCAGACTCTAAGCATTAAAGTGGCGCAGGGCCTGGACTGTTCATGCTCTGAGCACCTGCCACCTAAAGGGCTCACGGTATTTTTCATTCTGCAACTCGTGTTGAAAGACCAGGTGTCATCTGCTTGTCCTTGCAGATGTCACCACTAGGTAAGAGAGGCGGCTTTTTCAGCTGCTCTCCTGGCGCGAGGCTGCTGCTCTTCCTAGCACAGCCCTCTGGTTCTGGGTCTTGCCAAAGCCCAGAAGACTCAGGGCCCAGCACGTAGTGGACAAAGCACCGCCTCGACTCTTGCCCAGCGTGGGAGGGGACATTCACGAGTCTGTGTAAACACTGAGCAGCTCTGCACTGGGGATGTAGAGGCACAAGCTTATTTCATCAAACTCTAGTTCCCTAGTTCCCTTTCCAAAATGATTCCTGGCAGAGCGCGTTTGAGGAAAAACAGGTAAAAATAATACATAAACTGACACAGACCATGCTGGGTACCCAAGGGAGAGACTGAGCCACCTCAACTCTTTGGCCAAGCCAGGAGCTGCCAGAAGTTGATAAGCAGGCGGCAGAGGCCAGCACATCTTGCAGTCTCAGGAAGTTTGAGGTTTTAAAAAGAAAAAAAAGGGGCCTCCCCGGTGGCACAGCAGTTGAGCACTGGGTTGAGAAGCTGCCAACAGCCTCTGCAGTGCCTGTTCGATCCGGCACTCAGGCGAGGGTCCCACATGGTGCACAGACCTCTCCTGCCACGCGCTGTTCCCCTCAGCAGTGTGCTTCATCACTCTGCCTGTTCTGCTCTCAGCTCTGGCTCTGGTAAGTTCTCTCACCCTCCCGCGCTTCTGACTGTACCCAGTGCTTGTATAAATAAATAAATAAATCTTTAAAAAGAAAAAAGGATGACTTCCCTGTGCCTCTCACTCTGTATCCAGTGCCTCTTGTGTATTCTCCCGTGGATGTCAAAGAATTACAGATGGGCTCAGACTGATCACACAAAACTGCTGTGCTTTACTCATTGTCATTCTTCTCAACTTGCAGATGGGATGAACTCCGAAACACCCCAGATTTGAGCTGTGTGGGGACCAGGGTCTGGGATGCTGGGCAACGGCGCCAGGCCTTGCTCTTTCCTCCATCCTGCAAGTGCTTGCTGAGCCTTCGGGGCCAGGGCAAGGCCACCCACTTAGCAGAACATGCTGTGGTCTCGCTGCAGGGGACTCCACCCCCACGCCATCAAGACTCTGGGAACTACAAATCCCATGATCACCAAACGGAGGGCTGCGTGGACCTGAGGGTGGAGTTAAGCAGCGATGTTCTCTGAGTATTTAACCAGCCATCTGGCCGGGGGCCTGGGGAGCTGGGGGGACACTCTGTTGGCCTGATGGCACGTGGTTTTTCGCCAGCTCCGTGGGCCATTGGGATTCCAGGTCAGCGGAATGGGTAGGATGCAATTACGAACTTATCTCCCTCCTTTTCTCCCTGAGTTATTCATTTCCCCTTCCCTTGTAAATAAACCTGTGATTAACCTTTTGCGTGTGTCTGCAGTTTAGCATGAATAAGTCCCTTTAAGCGTGCGGGTGAGGGACCATAGTCACGTAACCTGTTTTTATCGGGGTTGCTCTGTAACAGAACAGCGGACTCCAGTTATTACAAACAGCCATATTTTCAACATAATTTACTACAGGTCTCTGAAATGTATATAAAACATTTTAGTGCAACATCTTACAAAGCGTGTTCCTTAAAAAAAAAAAAGCAAACAAAAGCAAACCAACAGCTCTCTACATCATGCACGGGGAGCTTTCTGACCCCACCTTTTTTTCCTTCACCCATCAACGCAGAGAAACCATTGTTTGAAAAGAATAGGAAAATCTGCTACAGAAACCCCAGGGGAGAGAGGGCGCGGTCCTCTCCGTGTCCTGGAACGGGCCTCGCACACTGTGGTGTTTCATCAATGCAGCCTCGGAGATGTGCCCAAGTCAAGCGAGTGGCTGCAGATTTCCTCTTGGTCCAGACCACGGAAGCGCCTGCGGGCAACGTGCAATGAGGCCCCGCGGCCACTGGGGGGCACCATCTCCTGTCCTCGGACACCACAGTTCCCAAGACAAGGGCCAAGCAAGCAGGTCCTGGGGATTTTCCTGGAAAGCTTGGAGAACAAAATCAACAAAAAAACTATGAACCAGAGACACTCTATGGGGAGTGGGGTGCGGGGAGGGGAGGGATTGAGGTCAAAATAAGGGGGTTGCTATTATATGGGGAATATAAAAATAAAATTTATTTAAAAAAAAAAAGAAAGCTTGGAGAGGCTCACCTTTGGAAGGTCTCCCCCAGGTCAATAGAAAATACAGAGGAAAAAAAAATTAAAATACTGGCTCCGGTTTCTTCTTTTTTTTTTTTTCACATTTTTTTTTCACATTTTTTTTTCACATTTCCTGCAACTTCTTCACATAGTGAATTACCTGCAGCACCTGCTATTCTACAGCTGTGAACCCATTCAAACCCAAATCTTAGTTGCACACCCGTCCCAGGCAGCCCTCTGCATCTTTCCAATCAGAAAACAGGCAGACATCGCCCTCCCTGACTCAATTTCTAAGTTAGGGGTAGGCAATTTCCACCGCCAAATGGGGCAAAGCATGCCTTCCTTCCTCGCCACTGAGTCGATTCTGCACCTCAGAAGTGTCGATGCAGCGTAATAAATAGGGATGAGCATGGGGACAGCGGTGGGACGAGGGTGTCTCTAAAGAGCACCTTGGGCTACCTGGGAGGAAAAGCAGCAGGGTTACACCACCTGCCAGAAACGGGCTTAGTAGCTGCTGTGCACCCTCCACCTGCAGACCCCGATAAGGGCCAGCAGCATCCACTCGGCCCGGGCAACCCCACAGCCTCCCCCAGTCTGTTCAGTCTCAGAACGAGGTTTTGCAGCCATCTCTCCATCCATTAAGTTTCAGCATCCCTGGTGGCTCTTTCCAGGTTGGCATCTCCCTGGGGATTCAAGACGCAAGTTCACAGAGGAAGGGAGACGGCAATCTTCGTCACAACATGGGAACTCCAGGACAGAAACATATCTCTGGGGAGGACAATCGACGATGCTCAAGGGAGCACCATCTAGTGTAAAATAAGAGGGTGACACTGACGCTTGCTGGGCTGCAAATGGAATTAAAATTAAAAAAAAAAATCCTAACAATGAACAATCACCTCAAGCCCCGAGCAGTGAGAAAGGGAAGGGCGTGAGATGCAGACAACACAGGTGCTCGCCTTCCCGAGAGGAGGGAAGCCGGACACACTAGAGGCCGCCTGGGATGTCCGGGCTCATGTTCCATGGCAGTGAGATTGGGGGTGGGGGGAGATGAAAACAGAGACGTCAGCATCTTCATGGAGATAAGCTTGGAAGGAAGAAGAGCAACCCCACTTCTCATACCTCCCGGGAGGTGCCGTTATTCCTCCCCACCCTGTACCACTAGGCTCTGCAGACCCCACCCCTGGTGCCCCTTTGAGAAACGCAGCTGTCGGCAAGTTGGGGCCCTCCTTAGGGCAGCCAGGACCGTCTGCCTGGGGGGTGGCTGTGGGGCGGCCCCTGTGGTCAGCTCAGGAGGGTCCCCCTTGCAGCCCAGTGGCCCCTTAACCTTCAGAGTTGGCCAAAGCACCTTAAAGTAGAAGCCAGTGGGCTCAGAGCCGCAGAGGCCGCGCTGGCAGCACAGAACAAGCCACCAACTTCCCTCGTCCCGTCACCGGCTTCGGTGCTTCTGAAAGTCGTCGATGCTAAAAGCGGCCTCCGCCTGCCTCCACTTGGGGAGTGTGAACTGTGGGTCGTTTTGGACTTTTCCTCCAAGAAAGTTTTCTCTTTTTTGGCAAAGTTGAGATGACACCTTTTGGGGGCCCCCTGACAGATCGGCTGGCTGGGCACCATCTTCTCCTGGGGGAGAGCAGGCAGGATTTCTCTCTCTCACAGCTCTTGAAGCAAAACGCAGTTCTTTCACATTGACTAAGAAGTGGCTCCAACAGCTCCAGCTGAGGGAGGAGAGAAGATACAAATCGGGCCCACACAACACGTAGTTTCCAAGTCTTGCTGAGAAAGTGAAAAACGGTTGCATGTATTTTGATCCTCGGGTGGCATCTTCAAGTGTCAAAACAAAACGTCTGGGAAGAGATCCTTCGTGTTACACAGTTCGTCCTTCCTCCTGCCAGCAGGTGTGAGAGAAGATCTTCCACAACGTCGTGGAATCCAAAAAGGGTCAACCAAAGGGCTGTAGAAAGTCCATTACAAAGAATAAGAACCCGCAGCCTCCTGTGAGGACGCCAGAGAAACCAGCGAGCAGATGTGGCACCTGGAGCTACTCACGACAGTACCAAGACCAAAGCCAAAACCCCAACTCTGCAGATGACACCATCTCCCTGGAAGCAGCCCCCCGCCGACGACCACCCCGAGGCAGCCTGGCTCTGTGGCCGCGGCGCCTCCGCCCGCGGTCTAGTCTGACATCTCTGGGCACCACAGGGCGGGCGCGGCCGACCGGCCAGTCACGGAGCAGAGGCGGCAAAGAGGCTCTCGGCTCCTCCGAGGTCGACATCCACGGAGGCCCCTTAGTCTATGATCCTGGGTGGATGCTGAGCACCGGGGGCTCCAGGCACGTTGGGGAGTAGTTGAGTGCAGATCTTGGAACTCTATCAAGGGCACCCCATTTTGCACTTTGGAGATCTCAGGGGGTTTCTACCTCCTGAAGCGCACCAGCACGATGGTGATGAGGATGCCGGAGATGGGGACGGGGCACAAGAAGACAAAGTAGAAGAGCTTGTTGTTGGACCAGAAGCTGGACTGCAGGGTGGAGCCTGGAAGGGGCCAGAGGGAGACAAGAGAAGAGGCTGAGAACCTGCACTTCTGTTCCTGAGACCTTGCCCAGCCCAAGGGAAGCTTTGGCGGATTCCCCAACCCTGCCTTTCTGTCCCCTAATATCCTTGACTTCCCAAACCTGTGTGGGAGCTTGGAAAGCTTGGATAGCCACCTGTCACTGGGCGGTTCATGAGCTCAACTCCAACGAGGACAGAAGAAGCTGACCCCAAGCCTCCCTGGTGGCGCAAGGGGTTCAGCACAGCACTATGAAGCTGGCCGCAGCCTCTGAAGCACAAGTTCAATTCCTGGTTTGCCAGGGACATTCCCACATGGCGCAGCAGACCTCTCCTGTCTTGCCCACTGCTCCCCTCAGCAGTGTGTTTCAGTAGATCTGCCTGTTCTGCTCCCCACTCTGTCTCTGGTGAATCCCCTCACCCTCCCCACACCTCTGGCCTGTACCTCAGTTCTTGCATGCATAAATAAATAAATCTTAAAAAAAAATGACCCCAGTTTGCTCTCACTGTACCGCATGGTTATATTTTACACTTTCCCTTCACACTCAGTTCTGCTCCAGAAGCCCTTCTTTGGCAATATAAATGTTCTCTCCCTGACAGCTCCTGAGAGTAGTTTTCCCGGAAATAATGCTTCTTTAATTAACACAATCAACTAAAATATCACCCTGGGCCCACAGATGCCCACGGAGTGTCTGTGGCTGCAGAGAACATGCCGTGCTCGCCCTGGACGTGGAGGGCAATGAAGCCAGGCCCCCCCACCTCGTCCAGGTCGGCCCTTGCACTTGGAAGAACTCAGCAGGAGCCTGGTCTCTGAGGCTGCTGGATAGTCTCTGTTCCTTGAAACGCCATACACAGGGGTCGCCACAGTGGGCAGAGAATACATGGCCTCCACACGCTCCCTGGGCTTTGGGACTGGAGCTTTTTCAGGAGTGTGTTGGGGGTCTGAGCACAATACAGGTCTTTCCCTGCCTTCCTTTCTAGTGCACAGCTGCTGCTTATCAGTATGCTCAAGAACATTCAACACACACTTACACCTATTAGATCTCTAAAGCATGTGAAATTGTTGACAGTCAACTACTTTGACAGTAAAGTCTCAGCGTCATAGGCGTCAATCTGAAGCAATGTAAACGAGGTGATCAAAGAAAAGAAATTGCAAATGAAATGCAAAATTTCAAATCAAACTTATCTGGTAAAATATTTTCAGTGAAAACAAGTAGAAATTTCTAGTGACATTTTTACTTCTACCTTATAGGCTAATTGTGCTAATAACTGACACCATTTTCAGTCTGAAAGAGTCCACATTTTGACAGAATCAACCAAGAGTGCCTCGTTAGAACAGATAATTCAATGTCAGCACGAATTTCCTCCGTGTTGTTTATAGAATCCTTCTTTACTCTCCAAACTCAGATTTCTGGAACATTCTGTAACAACATCGATGGCAAGCTCAACTGTTCTCAGACCCCTGTGAAGGGTCTGCCCTTCTAGGCTGGTCCTTCCCAGGTGACCATGAAATTCCACCTACATCCATGTCACCCTCTAAATAAAAATGACCCAGGAAAACAGAAAGAGTGACAGGGAGGCGTGGGGCTTCATTTTCTCTCCTTATTGAGTCTGAAGCACTTGTTAATTGGCTAAAGGAGATCAGAGTGAGTATTGCAGAGTGTAACACAGTAACCCCTGACCAGGTATTTGTGTGATGAACTCTACCACAGGCTGGTGAACAACAGAGGAAACACTACAACAGACTCGGTGTGGCATCAGGATTATTGCACAGATTGACGATGACTGTGTTATCACTGCCGCTCACACTCCTGAGTTGGCCTGGGCCATCAGGGTCAGTGACATGAACGGTGTGTCAAGTCCTCAGTGCCCGGGACAGGCGAGGAAAGTGCTTTTTAACCTGCAAACATGCACTGACCTGTCCCTGAGACACAGCTGTCACCAGGCGCGACCCTCCCCTGCCAACTGGGGAAACTCACCAGTGTCCAGGACGCGGATGCTGATGGGGGCCGACTCCTCCTTGGCCAGCAGGTACCAATCTCCCTGAGGGCTGGGCAGCCGCTCCTCCACGCGGCAGGAGTAGTTGCCCGTGTCCTGCGGGCTGGCCTGCAGCACCGTGAGCCGGAAGAGCAGCGGCGAGGGCCTCTGGAAGCGGAGTCTGCCCTCCCAGGGGCCTCCCTCTGGGCTGAAGACCCCATCAGGGCCCACGCTCAGCAGCGCAGTACTCTCCGTGGGGTCCTCCCCCTGCTCCTCCTCTTGTTCCTCCTCCTGCTCCTCCTCCTGCTCCTCCTGTCCTGCCAGGCCAGGGCTGCCCTTTTCCCCCCTGACATTTGTCCTCAGGGAAAACCAGGCCACAGCGAAGCGGGAGTCCTGGCTCCAGCGAGACGCGATGCTGCAGTCCAGCTGGAAGGCGGCCTTCTCGGGCACCGTGGTGTTGGGGGCCACCAGGATCACTTGCAGGGCCTCACCTGGGACTAGGGACAGAGACGGGAGGTGTGTCGATCACTGAAGACATGGCAGGAGCACCAGGGAACTGGCACTGCAGCGAGGCGGGGGTAGGGGGTGCCCGTGCGGAGGGGTAACAGCCCTCGGGAGAGCAGGAGCTCAAGGAGCAGAGCAGATATGTCACGAAGATGCACTGTGCACGGAGACTGAATGTGGCGAGTAGCTGAGGAAGGGGGGGGCGTGAGAGGCCCTCAACCCCCCCTGCATGTGTTCTGGGGAAGGAGCCTCGCTCCCGGGGAATCACAAGCAGAGCTGGACAGACTGACCCGCGTCATGTCCCAGCACAGCAGAGGCGAGGACAGGGGCGGGGAGGGCCGGGTCCAGGGGAGGAGTGAGCAGGTCAGAAGGGGGAGGCTGAAGGGGTGGGGAGAACAGTCCCCCAGTCTCACTGCACGTGGGGAGGCGTGTGCGGGGCTGTCCTCAGGGCCTTCTTTAGCCCCGCACAGGCAGCAAAGCTGCAGCTGCCGAAAGAGGTGGAGACCAGGGGCTCAGGGTCTGAGGAGATAAAGACTCTGGGAGAGCGAGGACGCTAGACCTGATTAGATTAAGTGGGTGACCTGGAATTTAAAGTGTGGGGACCCCGGGGGTGACGTGTTTTGTGGCGGCCACGGGTGGTGAGCACAGAACAGGTGAGCGCCGGACTCAGCCAGGTGGAGATGGAGTCAGGTGCGTCTAAGCGATGGAGAACCCGGCAGGTAAGCTGTGCCTGTGCACCAGCCTGAGCCCAGGAGGGAGCACCCCACTGGGGGGGGGGGGTGGCGCGCAAGTGGTTGTGAGGACTCTGGGTGAGGCAGGAACTTCGGAGTTGGCCCAGTGGAAGACCCGGTGTCCCACAGAGGAGTGGGCCCCCTGACCCTCAGACAAAGGGGAATCAGAATTACTGGTGAAGTTTGAGGTTCTGTCTGCGGGGAAAGGCCAGGTAGATTGGGGGACAAGACCACTGCGGGATGGGGGAGCAAGGACTGAGGAACCAGGAAACTAGAAAGGACATTTGTCTCAATACTATTAAATGATGGCCGCGTGCCTGACGGGAAGGGTGAAGCCCAGCGCCAGGTGATCTAGTGGCAGTGCAGCCTGACAGCTGAACAGGGCCCAGCAGGGACTCCACAGCACCTCCTGTCCAGGGAGCTCAGCTCTGAGTTCCCTGCTGCTACTCCAGCTCTTTCCAGAACATTCCCAGCAAGACAAGTGACACTGCTGCAGTCACTCTGCCCCCGGGGCAGTTCCTCCCCCCTCGGTCACTTCCTTTTCTCACCCAGAGGTGACAAGGGGCTCGAGTGGCTCCCGCAGGCCAGAAAGAGGACACACGCCTGACCCATAGGACGGCCAGTTCTCGCCTCGTGACCCATTTTTTGTAACAGTCTCTTCGAATAGTTGGGAATGCGTCATTTTAAGCAAATCACATTATTCAAATCACTTTAAGAGTAAACTCGGTGCTGCCCTTAGCACCGCCGTATTCCACTTCATACTCATCCTCATCTGATGACGTGACACTGAAGATGGTGAGGTCCCCGGTCTGGGTGTCTAAATGAGCCCTGTTTATAAAGGGCTCTGTTAAAGGTTCTCCTCCCACTCGATGACTTTATTATTTTCTTTTTCCACAGGATATCTTTAGAGGCTACAGGTTCTCCTATTCTGAAAGTCACATTCTGACTCATGCCTCCAGATAGAACCATATTTTGGGGCTGGGCATCACAGACAATGAGATCTAGGGAGGGGTAAAAATTGGTTGGGAAGCAGCACATGATTTTAGTGAAAACAGAAAAGCATCTTCCGGATGCCCTTTCAGGGAGAAACAAGTTACATTACGCATCCGTTATCTTGTGCTGTGCTAAGGTGAAAACTGCCAGCCGCAAGCAGGACTCCCATGACCATGTAGTTGACTCTTTACTAGGGAACTCGGGCCCGGAAATCTAAGGAATGATCCAGCTTCTGGAGCCCTGGATATGTCAGGTGCTGTGGACGACACTGGGAATGAGGCAGTAAGCAGCCAAGCATGGTCCTGAACCCCGGGAACCCCAGCTGAGGGAGAGGACTCAGGAAGGCCTGGGAGCCTCCAACCCAAGGGCTTTCAGGGAAGTCAGGCTGAAAGTGATCCAGGACGACAAATCACTGAAGGAGAGAGGAGTTAGCCTGGCCAGCAATGGTAGGGGAGGAAGAGACAGTCACACAGAGAGAGGAAGCACCTCCCAAGGCAGTCCCTGATAAAATAACAGCCTGGGACAGAGAAAACAAAAGTCTATCTAAATGGCTAGAATGGGAGTCTCCCTGTTGGCTCAAGGGGAAGTGCCTCAACACCGTGAAGCTATTGGCAGCCACTGTGGCATGAGTTCTATCCCAGGCCAGGGAGCTACCCACATGGCCCAGCAGACCTCTCCTGTCTCCCCGCTGCTCCCCTCAGCAGAGCATTTCAGTAGATCTACCTGTTCTGCTCCCTGCTCTGTCTCTGGTGAATCCTCTCAGCCCTGCCCCCACCTCTGGCCTACAACCCAGCTCTTGCAGACATAAATAAATAAATCTTTAGAAAAAATTGCAAAAACTTTTCATTGCTAAGGAATATCAATATATTTAAAAACAGAGCTAGAAAATTGTTGCCATCTAATAACGTTTTAGTGATAATGGGCTTAGGGCTGAAATCCTCACTGGATGCTAAAAGATTAGAGGAAAGATTGTCAGGGAACAAGAGATCCCCACAATCTTAGTCAATTACTTATTTGCAATGCGGTAACGGTGCCTGTAAAGGGAGAAATCTGTTGGCCATCACGTTGACCAAGCCATAGAAATTCACACCTACACAGTGGGACCAATGGACAGAGTTTGCTGCCTGATGAGATAAGTGGAGCAAACCAGGACACACCTACAAAGAGAATCCTTCCCAACAACAATGTTTTAACCAGGACCCAATCACCACCAAAAGGTAGACAGTCCAAACCAAGGCATATTCTATAAACTAACTGGTCGAACCCTCGAGAACAACAGCCATAAAGTAAAAAGCAAACTCGTAGATGCAAGGGACGAAAGAGGTTCCACCACCAGATGAAGTGCTGACCCAGATCTGACTCTGCCAGAAAGCAGCCCAGGACAAGGCTGTGTTTGCTGACCAGGCTCTGGGGCTCACTGAGATGCAGTGTCTTAGAAGACAAGAGGGATCATTCAGGGGCAGGTTGTCCTGAGGTTTGCATCCCTCAAAAGTTTTGTAAAAATAACCCATTTAAGCACATGCGTCTGAGTGTGGGCTCACATCTATAAAGGAGAAGTCAACCAATGTGGTAAAATTGACGAGAAAGGTGTTGGTGTCCGTTGTACTATTTTTACTGTTCTAAAGCTTTTGAGTGTTCCAAAGTTGTGAAAACTTAAAAAGAAATATTAAGGGCTCCCTCCTCTCTGCTTTCCTAATCTCTGTATTAGTAACTGTGTGCTGTGCCATCACCCCACATTTCTCTATTTGCTCTTTTTCACTGTCTCCCCCTCCCCAGCACCTGAGCAGAGAGTGTTGTCCCCTGCTCTGTGCTCAGGCCTTGTACAGTGCCCCCCACACAGCTGATGCTCAGTATTTGTTGAGCAACTGATGTTGACAATAATTCTGTGAATTCTTAGACACTATTATCCTTTCTCTCCCAGAAAGGGAGCCCTCAGAAACTGCCCTCGGCACACCTGGAGTGTGTGTCCAGTGGCCCTTGGGGGACTCGGAGGAGGGATCATTTATTGCCCAAGTTCACCTGTAAACTCTTGGCTTCCTTACCTGGTTTCCTCCTCCTGGGATCTCGTCCCATATCACTGCAGATCCAACACCTCCCTCCTAGGAAGCCAGGTTCCACCACCCTCCCTCCCTGGAAGGCTTTGCTTCACAGAGGATGCCTGATTTCACAAAAGACAGGCCCAGGAAGCTTTGGAGCTTCCTTTTTTTTTTTTTTTTTTAAAGATTTATTTATTTATGCATACAAGAGCTGGAGTGCAGGCCAGAGATGAGGTGGGTGGGTGAGAGGATTCACCAGAGACGGTGGGGAGCAGAACAGGCAGATGTCCTGAAACACACTGCTGAGGGGAGCACAGGCTGGGCAGAAGAGTTCTGCTGTGCCCTGTGGGTCAGCTCCCTCTCCAGGAATCAAACCTATGCTACAGTGGCTGGTGATAGCTTCATAACCCCAGGGAGGCCCTGGTGCTTCTTTTCATCCCTCTTCCTGTACTTCTCTACCTGACACTGCAGTACCTTTGAGTCTTCCTCCAACTCTCCCCAGGGCGTGCACCTGGGAGAATGTGCAGAGGAGTCACTCAGGAAAGGCTGAAGACTGGAGTGAAGGTTGATCTGACAGATTGTACAAAGGGCTCCCAGAGGAACAGCCCCCCCCCACCCCCAGACAAGGAAGAAATAGTTAGGGGGCCAGCACTACCCCCCAGGGGTTGACAGTGACTTGTCCCCAGACTGGAGGTGTTGGGGAGGGTGAGGAGGTCACAACCAAGGCAAAGATATCCAAATTGTGGGGCTGTCCTGCTGATTTCCTGAAGCTAGAAAGGGAACCAGGCGGTTGGACACAGTCACTGGTTCCTCCTTGAAGACCAAAGGGAGGGGAAGGCGCCATCACTACTTAGGAACCTGAAGCACTGACTAGGTCCCCTGCTCAAACCCTTCTCTCTGCCCTCCCCCCTGCAGGCTCTGGCTTCCCACCCCACGCTGGCCCTCTGGTGATACAGTTAACAAGTTGGTCTTTTCCCCAGGTCTTGCAGTTCCCCCTTATCTGGCATTAACAGGATGAACAGCTGGTCTTTCCCAGGTGCTGCAGCTTCCCCTCCCCTTGAGGGGAAAAACAAGCCAGAGCCCCTGGTTTCCCTGCAGACCCTGCCCCTCCCCCTAATGGCGGTCACCCGCCTCTATGCTGACACTTCCCCTTCCCTTAAGATGAAGAGTTGGGCCCCCCTGGGCCTCTGAAGGCTCCTGCCCCTCTCTGCGATGCTTCCCCTCCCCTGGATGAAACCAGCCGGGGCCACCCAGCTCCGCGCTGAGCCGGCGCCCACTTGTCTCCGCGGGGACCCTCCCCGCCCCTGGGCGGACCCCTGCCCCCTCCCCGGGTGTGGACGCCCCTGCCCGCGGCCAGCGAGCAGGACGGGGCTTTAGGACACGAGTCCGCCGCCCTCCTCGTCTGTCGGCCAATAAAACCGCGGTCCTTGTCCTCAAACTCGCTTTCCTTTTACTGGCCGAGGGAAACTGAGGCCGCGTTCGGTAACAGTGGGGCGCAGAGGCCACGCACCCCCCTCACTTGCGAGCCAGCCCAGCGCCCGCAGAGGAGACGGGGCGCCCCCACCCCGGCGGGGATCCACGCCCAAGGCGCGTGTGGGGGAGTCCGGGGGCGGCCCAGCGCGGTCCTGGGCGCCAAGTGTACTGCCAGGGCGGCTCGGAGGCCGAGAAGTAAGGGAATCTCAGAGAAAAGCCACAACCTTCCGGGGATCGCTGCGCGGGGCGGGGGCCTGGATCCCGCCCTGGGACTTCGGAGGCCCCAAGAGAGAGAGATGAGTCCCGCGGGGGAGCGCGCTGAGCCCCCACTTCTTCCCCAGCCAGATCCAGACGCCCCAGGGCGAAGTTCCCCCGCGCCCCTGGGAGGGGTGCAGTGACACCTTCCTCCGGGACAAGTGGCCCGCGCGAGGCCCCCCCACCCCGCGCCCCTCCTCAGCGCCGACCCCGCCGCCCCTCGGGCCCCGCCGCCCACCCGACCTTCGCCCCGGGCGCGGCACCCCAGACCCGCGGCGGGGTGGCGGGGGGCACTCACCGAGCAGGGACAGCAGGCAGAGGACCCCCGCGGGGCTCAGGGGAGTCATCACGCGCCTGGCCAGGATCGGTCCTGGCACTTCTGTGGGTGAGGCGCCCCGCGGCCTCATATGGGCGCATCCCGCCAGCCCCGCCCGGAGACGAGTCCCGGCCAATGGAAGCTGCGCTAAGGGTGCATTCCCCGCCCGTCCCCGCGCCCCCACTTCTAACTGGCTCCGTCCCCAGCACAGGAGCTCCACCTCCTGTATCCTCGGGTAGAGGCCCCCCACGCCGGGCTGTTTGCCAGGAGCGCGCAATATCCTGTGGGTCCCGGCGCTCCTCAGCGGCCGCTGACCAGGATTCCCGCCACCTGGAAGGTGCTGAGGGAAGGAGCTGCGGGGAGGGTCGGGGAGGCTGTCAGGCCACGCCCCACTCGCCTGCACCCCGACTTCCCAGCACAGGTACCAAGTCCTGGGAGGCTCTGCGCTTTCGGGCGAGCGCGGAGCTGGCGCTTGTTGCTCCCGGGGACCCAGCCCCGGGATCCCGCAGCAGCCCCGCCAGACACCCCTTCCTCGGATGCCAGAACAAGGGAACCCGGACATTTCAGACAACCCCTGGGGTGTGTGGGGGGTGCCTGTTGCACCCCACTCGCTTTTCCTTAAACGCTGTTCCAGCTGCCCCTTGTGCCCCAGAACTGGATTCCAGCAGCCCTGTCTCCTCACCCTTTTTTTTTTTTTTTAAAGATTTATCCATCTATTTATACAAGCACTGGGCACAGTCAGAGCTCGGGAGGGCGAGAGAACTCACCAGAGCCAGAGCGGGGAACAGAATAGGCAGACTGACCAAGTACACTGCTGAGGGGAGCAGCGGGCACAACAGGAGAGGTCTGCGCGCCATGTGGGACCCTCCCTGGGGCCTGGGATCAAACCGGGGCCACAGAGACTGCAGGCAGCTTCACAGCCCAGTGCTCAACCACTGGGCCACCAGGGGAGGCCTCCTCCTCACTTTCTCTGGCTCCTCTTATGTCTCAACTGTGACTTTTCCCTCAGGCTAAGGTTCATCCCCTCAGTGACCTCCCGGAATTTCAATCTGCCACTGCCCTCTAGAACACCCAGAGGCTGTTCCAGAACAGCCACTGCCCTCTGGAACACCCCATCTTATTGGTCAGTGTTCTCCACGGGCTTGCCTCCCACACCCCCTGCAACCCCAAGGGGCCCAGAACAAAGGACTCCACTCCAGAAAGGGGCCCTTTTCCTTCAGAGAAGCCCAGAGCTGTCCCAGCTCAGCTGAGGCAGGTGGGAGACTCTTGCCAAGGATAGGATTCTCCTACATGCCACCAGGTGCAGCTGTGAAGCCGGTGGAAATGCCATTTACTGTGGCTCTCCTCCCCAGCACACCCCTGGGCCCCAGCCATCCTAGTCACGTGGCCTGTACTTTCAGAAATGACAAACTATTTCTTCAATGAACCTAAAATCTTACAAGGTATCTCTCATGGGTGAACTTTTGAAGCCAAAGTCCTGTACCTGGAAGCAGGTGACCTAAAGACACCCCCTACCATGTGTAGATATTGGGGGCACATGACAAGTGCCATGTTTACCCCAAGATGGGAGGAAATCAGGGTCCTCCTCTGCCTGCTGTAAGTGAAATCATCCAATATTTTTCTTTTTTAAAAAAAGATTTATTTATTTATTTATTTATTTATTTATTTATTTATTTATTTATTTATTTATTTATACAAGCACTGGGTATAGTCAAGGCGCAGGAGGTTGAGAGAATCCACCAGAGCCAGAGCAGGGAACAGAACAGACAGACTGACAAAACACACTGCTGATGGGAGCAGCGGGCATGGCAGGAGAGGTCTATGCCATGTGGGACCCTCGCCTTGTGGCCGGGGATTGAACCGGCGCTGCAGAGGCTGCGGGCAGCTTCACAGCCCAGTGCTGAATAGCTGTGCCACCAGGGGAGGACCCCTGATATTTTTCTTTTTCCTTCTGGCTTATTTCACTGAGCATAATTCCTTCTAGCTCCATCCACATTGCTGTGAATGGCATGAGCTTATCTTTTTGATTGCTGAATAATATTCCATTGTGTATATGTACAACATCTTTTTGATCCAGGCATCTATTTTGGGCATTTGGGTTGTTTCTAGGTTTTACCTATTATAAATAGTGCTGCAATAAGCATAGGGAAATAGGTGTCTTTTGAATCAATGTTTTAGTGTCCTTTAGGTAAATTCCTAGGAGTGGAATTGCCAGGTCACACGGTAGCTCCATTTTTAGTAGACTGAGGAACCTCCAGACAGCTCTCCATAGCGGTTGGACCAGTTTGCACTCCCACCAGCAGTGCAGGAGAGTTCCTTTTTCTCCACATCCTCGCCAACATTTGTTGTTGCTAATTTTCTTACTATGTGCCATTCTCACTGGTGTAAGGTGGTATCTGTCTCAATGTGGTTTTTGACTTGCATTTCTTTGATTATAAGGGATGTTGAACATTTTTTCTTATGGCTGTTGGCCATTTGCATTTCCTCTTTGGAGAAATGTCTTTTAAGTTCTTCTGCCCATTTCTTGACTGGATTCTTTACTTTGTTTTTGTTGAGTCATGTGAGTTCTTTGTATATCTATGATCATTCCCTTATCAGTTGTATGGAGACCAAAAAATTTTTCCCAATCAGTGGGGTGTCTCTTTACTTTGGTTATTGTCTCTTTAGCCAAACAGCCATATTTTCAACATAAATTATGACAGGACTCAAAGAACATTTTAGTGCAACATCTTACAAAGAATGTTCCTTAAAAATAGGAATTAAAGGGCCTCCCCGGTGGCGCAGCGGTTGAGCGCTGGGTTGCGAAGCTGCCCGCGGCCTCTGCAGTACCGGTTCGATCCCCGGCTGCTCCCCAGCCATGGGAGGAGGGTCCCACACGGCGCGCAGCCCTCTCCTGCCGCCCGCTGCTCCCCTCAGCAGTGTACTTCGGTCCTTCTGCCTGCTCTGCTCCCCGCTCTGGCTCTGGTGAACTCTCTCACCCTCCCACGCTTCTGACTGTACCCAGTGCATGTATAAACAAAACAAACAAACAAATACATAAATAAAACATGCGTCTATAAAAAAAAACTTTAAAAAAAAATAGGAATTAAAAAAAAATCAAGAGCTCTCTACATCCTGCATGGATAGCTTTCTTACTCCATCATTGTTTCCCTTCAACAATGAAAGCAGAGAAGCTATTGTTTGAAAAGAATATGAAAATTTGCTACAGAAACACCCAGGTGAGAGAGGGTGCGGTCATCTCCATGTCCTGCAATGGGCCTAGCACAGTGTGGTAAATGCAACATGGAAGATGGAGATCAAGTCAAGAGATTGGTAGCAGATTTGCTCTTGGTTCCAGACCATCATCTTTCCAATCAGAGGAACAGTCAGTCATTGTTCCTCACTGACTCAGTTTCAAAGTTAGGAGGAGGCAATTTCCAACCCACAAAGGGGTGAAGCATGCCTTCCTTCCTCACCACTGAGTGGATTCTACACCTCCAAAGTGTCGATGCATAATAAATGGGGATGAGCATGGAGGCAACAGTGGGATGAAAGTGTCTCTAAAAAGCACCCTGAGCTACCTGGGAGGAAAAGCGGCAGGGTTACACCTGCCAGAAATGGGCTGAGCAGCTGCACCTAGCCACCTGCAGACCCCAATAAGGGCCAGTAGCACCACTTGGCCTCGGGAATCCCACAGCCTCTCCCAGTCTGTTCAGTGTCAAAACGAGTTTTTGCAGCCATCTCTCCATCCATCAAGTTCCAGAAATCCTGGTGGCTTATTACCAATTGGCATCTCCCGGGGTTCAAGATGCAAGTTTACAGAGCAAGGGAAATTTACTCTTATCCACAAAACATGGGAACTCCAGGACATAAATATCTCCATGGAGGGTGACACTGGCTCCGGGCACGTCAGGGAGTAGTTGAGGTGTGGCTCTTTGATCCAAAACAGGGGCACCTCATCTTCCCTTTGGAGTTCAGACAATTTTTCTTTTTTTAAAAAGGGAATAGTTGTCCCCTGCTGTGTACTTGGGCCTTGTACAGTGCCCCCCACACAACTGACACTCAGTATTTGTTGAGCAACTGATGTTCACAGTAATTGTATGAATTCTTATGGACACTATTATCCTTTCTCTCCCAGAAAGGGCGCCCTCAGAAACTGCCCTCGGCACACCTGGAGTGTGTGTCCAGTGTCCCTGGGGGACACGGAGGAGGGACCATTCATTGTCCAAGTTCACTTGTAAACTCTTGCTCCCTGGCTTCCTTGCCTGGCTTCCTCCTCCTCTTATCTCTTCCCACATGACTGCAGCTCCAGCACCTCCCTCCTAGGAAGCCAGGTTCCACCACCCTACCTCCCTGGAAGGCTTTGCTTCACAGAGGATGCCTATTTTTATAAAAGACAGGCCCAGGAAGCTTTGGAGCTTCCTTTTTTTTTTTTTTTTTTTTTTTAAAGATTTATTTATACATGCATATAAGAGCTGGAGTGCAGGCCAGATATGAGGTGGGTGAGAGGATTCACCAGAGACAGTGGGGAGCAGAACAGGCAGATGTCCTGAAACACACTGCTGAGGGGAGCAGCAGGCTGGGCAGGAGAGGTCTGCTGTGCCCTGTGGGTCAGCGCCCTGGCCAGGGATCAAACTTGGGCTGCAGTGGCTGGTGAGCTTCATAACCCCTTGAGCCACCAGGGAGGCCCTGGTGCTTCTTTTAATCCCTCTTCCTGTACTTCTCTACCTGACACTGCAGTACCTTTGAGTCTTCCTCCAACTCTCCCCAGGGCGTGCACCTGGGAGAATGTGCAGAGGAGTCACTCAGGAAAGGCTGAAGACTGGAGTGAAGGTTGATCTGACAGATTGTACCAAGGGCTCCCAGAGGAACAGCCCCCGCCCCCAGGCAAGGAAGAATTAGTGAGGGGGCCAGCACTACCCTCCAGGGGTTGACTGTGACTTGCCCCCAGACTGGAGGTGTTGGGGAGGGTGAGGAGGTCCAAACCAAGGCAAAGATACCCATGTCCTGGGGCTGTCCTGCTGATTTCCTGAAGCTAGAAAGGGAACCAGGGGCTTCTAGACACTCACTGGTTCTTCCTTTAAGACCAAAGGGAGGGGGGGCCTCCCTGGTG